TTCATCCCTCTCCACGAACAACTACAAGCATCAACGTAGGATTGCCGGTTCAGGCATGGGAGGCATGCAACACCATTGCGCAAGCCATGAGTACGAGGTTGTGATCTACGCCATATACGTCATAGCCATTCATAGCCCACTGCTGCGATCTGAGATTGCAGCGCTCACCGGCGAAGGATACTCGTACTCCGGCAAGCCAGGATAAACCTTGCTTGCTGCATGTCCACATGGAGCAAGGGTGGGGAGGGGGGCACCTGTCCGGCCCCGTTGCTCTGACTGATTGTTTCGCATGTTGGGCATGGGCAGATGGAATCGTTCTTCTGGCCAATGGAGTCGTCAACTGCTGTGTCAGTATAGTAGTACTTTGGAGGCTGGAGGCTGTACAGAGCTACAGATGCGAAAGAAGACGACAAAACAATGACCAGCGTCATCCCTTCAGAACACAGGACTCGCGTTTTTGCTGCCACCATTGGTGCTGATGCTGATGGTGCTGCTGCTGCAACCACAGTCAGGGCTCGAGTTTGCGGCACTGGTTTGCTCGGGGCAAGGGTATGGAAAGGGCAGCAGGGGCTTTCGTCTCTGTCCCTGTTCGAATCGGCGTTGAAGGGTTCTGAACTTGGGGTGAAGGCTCGAAGTGGCAACAATGCTGGTCAAAGCCCATGCCTTCCTACATCCTCCTGTAGCAACTTGCAAGAGGGAATTTCTACCCAGTTCAAAGGCCCACAAACCCGGCGGGGCCTTCATAGGTGACGCCGCTGTGGAGACTGTGGCCTTGGTGCACGCGTGCAGTGACAGTTGGTTTCGTGAGGGGAGTCCATGCGGCACTTGTGGCGCAAGAGCCGGCACAGGCCAACCCCAGACCTCACATCCTGCACCCCACACCCTCACACACCCCTGCCTTTAACGAATCAACCCGTTCACCCCTCCCGAAGTCTACACGATCACCCATACACTTCCCCAACACAAAGCCAGTCCCCAACACCCATGCAATAGTCAGCAACATCCCACCCTCGACCATTTCTTGACTAGATCTGGGGTAAGCCCACCTGGTAGAAACATCGCAAAGTTCGTATCCCTTAGTTGGAAACAAATAATTTGTAAAACGTGATTATTCATGCTTGTCATTCAGTATCGTAGAAAGTGTTGCTAATTCTCAGGCTCCTTGTTTTCTATCTTCTCCCGCTCGTCTCACTGTCTAATACCTCGCATCGACCATTTCAATTAGCATTCCGTTCCTTACATAAACCATAGTTGAACAGATTTCAGTATATTGCACACCAGGTACCTCATCCCTGCTCATATTCAAGTCTTCGTTGACTGTAGATATTTCAGCGGATGTTCGGTGTTCGTTGCTCTTGCTCATTACTATTTGAAATATACACCGCATGTTTGTCGTTTGTAAAAAGTGTTCTTCTACAATAGGCCTCATCACCTGCATTACATTGTATTTCATTGTATTTCATAAGATGCTGAGGTATCAGGCTTTGGAAACCTGATTTTGCCCCTTATTCAATTCATTCAAGCATACCGTTTTGTCTCTTATACATTTTACTCACTTGTCGAGGCTTTCTGAAAAAACTATCAAGCTTTCTTGTCAGTTAGTTCCAACTTAGCTCATATCTTTTGGCTACTTATACGCTTCATTGGTGTAGTATTCCACCCATATCACTCATACTACTACATAAAAGTTGTTGATTCAACATGTTAAACAACAAGTCTTAATAAACTTTGCGACGAATACCTTTAGTTCAGGACTTGAACTTTCGCTCTACTTGTTCATACTATTCAAGCATCTGAAGAAGCACACCACAATCTTATCAACATAAAAAGTCATGAGCCGTTGCACCTATTTCATCTAGGGAGGACTGTTAAAACATCACATATTTTAATATTGGGTCCCGCGTTTCAAAATATCATGCGAAAAGAATAGGTTCCCACAGCGTCCTCTTCTGTTCATCTAAAACAAGTTATGAACAAACCTGACTTTCAAACGAATTGCACATGTTCTTGTGGTAGTGCTGTTGAATGTATCACAATACTTCCACTTCTTGCCTTCATCCAATCAATGCTTGGGATGATGGGCGACCCTGATACTTCTGGGCGATATGCTCTACTGTGTTAGACTTCACGAACCCCAAGAGCTCATAGCGATGCGATACACTGTCAACACAGTCTACACACTACTTTCATACAATGTTAAGCCATCTTCTGTTAACTTAGTTGTTCCATGATCTTGCAATCTGTCTTTGTTTACCCAATGTCTGTTGCGATTTTTCCTGCAAGGTCCAAGTTCCAGGCAGGAGAGCCGCCTGGCAAGGGTCAAGCTAAGCGCAAGGAACAGCTCAGAGGCTGCAACGGCGAGGGCAGCTTCTGAAACTTCAAAGCTTCGGGGAATCGACTGAGGTGCAGGTCTCGCAATGCATAGCAGTGTGAGCAGAAAGATGCTTCCGGACTCTTCCAGATGCATTCCGCCTGGCGTCAACAGCTGGGACGGCGACGCCTGACGCCATGCACACAGCCCCAAGTTGATACAAGTGTGCTGTCCAGCAGTACAGCACCTACGTAAGAGTGCCATACACGGGCAGAGGGGAGCATAGACATATATGAGGACCAGGGCAGGGCATTTCTCTGCAAGTCTCTTCCTCCATCCTTGCTCAGCAAAAGTCCAGGCGCCTCATCTGTAGCGCCCTTGGACTTCGGAGGCCTCATTGTCTTGGAGCTGAAGTGGTCTGAAGCATCCGTCTCCCCGACAAGTCGACTATCCAACTTAAAGCTCCATCTGTCCGACAGAACAGGGTCAGCAGGTCACTCGTCTGAATCCCAGCCGGGCAGCTTTGCGGTCATGTTCTTGGCATGCCTCGGAAGCACGATTCGTGAGCAGAGTCATGGTTGCGACTTTCTTGAGAAGAGTGCTGACAGAGGCCCTGGCGCAAGCCTCACTGCGCATGCATCGATCACTCAGCTTTGAGCCCCCGCGGCAGCAGCATGAATCGCACGAGCACAAAGCTGGTCTTGGAATCTCATCTACCAGAACTGCTTATCAACTCCGCATGGCTCACAAGCCACGACCACGGAAGAGCACTGAAGACAGCAACAGAGAGAGATCTCCGGTGGCAGAGGTTGGCCTCCCCATTTCCGTCCAGCCGCCCATGTGCGGAAGGTTGGGGCGGAATGGGGTCCGACCTGGAGACTCGCCAAGGAGCAAGGGGGGTTCTCCAGGGGGACGCGGTCTGCTTCACCACACTCATGTGAGGCAGACAGCAATGATGAGTCATTGGTGTGCGCTCGACACCGAGAGCCAGGCGGCAGCTGCAAGTGCAAGGCCTGCGGCATCGACACATGCGGAAAGTCATGGAACTTCATCCAGCCAAAGCCTTTCCAACCTCAGTCCGGCAATGCTCCCACTCCAACCTCAGAAGCCGGTAAACCCTGAGGACTGCGAAACACCCTTTGATTCTGGCAGCCTTGAACGCCGAGCTGTCGAAAGTTGGTGCAGGCCACCTTTGCTCAAGGCCGAGCTGACTCAGTAGCCACAGAAATTCGAGTTGTTTGCCACTGCAGATGCTGGAAATTACGAGGAATGGTGCTCTGAAGTACAACATTCATCTCCAGACACGTAGGTTGCTACGTGTCGGGGCATGAAACTCCAAATTTGCTTTAACACACGCACACACAAACTCCTAGAAAAAGAACCAGCAGTAGCACAACCCCAAACAACAAACAAAACATGTGTGGATTTTATTTAAATACCTAACAGACATTTTAGGCTACCTCCATCGGAATCGGGTCCGGCCGCCAAGGCCAGTTCAAACAGGGGGACAACCAGGACCCGTACCCCTACCTCCGGCCCCACTCCCGATCTTACCTGCGCACTACCCCACCCCTGCCACCCCCACTCACCTGGACCACGAAACCCCAATGTGGTGAGGGCTGGTGTAGGGGTGGTGTCGGGTCCGGCATTCGTGGTGAAGGGGTCTAGGAGTGGACTTGCGGTGGTGCAGGCGCAGGGGCGAGGGCGTGGTTGTTGTGTGGTGTACGTGGCGGCCTAAAAATGTCTAGTGGTTAGGTGGTCTAGGGGTGGCTGAATGGTTCTAGGGGTGGTGCAGGGGTCGTGTAGGGGTGGTCCAGTGGGGAGGGCCATTAAGTGCACCACAACTGGCACCAACGTCCCCACTGTCCCCACACCCTCAGCGCCCTCATGTGACAGTGCTTGGCCCACTGCTGCGGCATTCGGCGCAGCGTGGCATTGCGTGCCTTGGGGTCGGCGGGCTGTCTCCGCTCCTCGCCTGGCGTGGACAGCCGGATATCCCTGATAGCAACCGCCAGATGGATGCTTAGAATATTCGCGGGAAGCTGCTTCAGAGATGGATTTGTGCTGCCGAAGCTGAGATGAAAGTTGTGCGCAAGTCCCAGCTGAAAGGAGAGGCGACTTTATCCGACATGGGTGCAACAATCTCTTCCGGCTCACAAGCGCTCCACCAGTCAAAATCAAGTCTTGAGCTCTGCCTGCCGCAGAGCTTGTAGCAGCGAGGTCATAGATGCGGCGCCGGGGCTTGCGGTGCTTGGGCTGGCCGAGCTGTGAGGGTGCTTGCAACATGGGGCTGCCTAGCAGCAACAGCAACGTATCCCCCTGGTTCTTAGGAGGGACTGAGCCCCATTGAGCCCTATAAACACCCTTTAAGGGATTATATAGGGCCCTCATTCTACTAAGAACCAGCCAGTATTCGTAGTTCCTCGAGCTTCAAGGTCCGCTGTCCAAAAGCCCTCTTTGCCTGCAGGTAACGCCCACGCTCTGCCAGCATCAGATCGCGGCACGCATCCCATATCGTCGACTGACCTCCCAGGCAAACAAAAACCTGCTCCAGCCCAGCCCAAATCTCTTACCCTCCGCTCAAGAGAAGCCCAGTCCTCCCCAGGGAGCGCCGGGAGCTGAATCATTCCAGGCGGCGGGCTCGAAGACCTCACCAAAGGGGAATATATGTCGGGTCGGCCCGGCTGCCGAGGCGGAGCGAACAAGTTTACAGTTAACACTAGCCATTTTGGGCTTCGAGGGCCATGCAAGAACCTAATCTTCTCAACTGCCAGTCTCCTATCCCTCCATCACCAGCCTCTATGGTCACCATGGCGACGTCACATGGGCCAAGATCCGAGGCTTTGCAAAGTGAAGCTTGACGGGTACTGTAACATGGCGCTGCAAAAATACCGCCAATGCAAGCGCTTTGTGTAAACGAAGTATTAGTGTTGCAGGCGTGGTCCCTGAGTTGTTAGAGTCAGCTTGGTTCGTGAACGCTTTGTAATTAGCCGTTCGCTCGCCTGTGCTCGCCAAGTGGTATAAAGCTGTCATTGCGGAGATACTGCGGAGACTCTATTCTTCTGATCTGTTTGGGGGGCAGCATTGGCTCCAAGAAACCAATACAAATTGGCAGAGGACGAGGTGTGGCCGCTGCAGAATGCCACAAGGAGTCCTAAACCACTTGCACGCCCCTTCCCATGGAGCGTGGGAAGACCTCTCTCTCCAGGGTGGTACGTTCCTCATCCCAGACCTGCATCACGGCGGCCAGGCTAAGTTGTCTATACGGGCAGCTTCCAGGTCTCCCCATCTGTTCTAGATTGCAAATTTAATTTCAAAACCAGGCGACGTTTGTTTTCAGTATTACTGCGGCCCTCGGCCCAACAAGTAAAATTAGCCCTGCGACGTCGGATAGCGCCCGGAGCCTTGGCCCTTGCAATCTGCTCGGCTTCCAGGGACTCCTGGAAGGTCCCCGCAAGAATGGCTCAGAGTCGGGACGAGGCTTTGTAACCCTACACCACAAGCCCTAAACCCTAAACCCTAAACCCCAAACCCCAAACCCCAAATCTGTCCTGGCGCAGTTTGGAGGCATCCAGCTCCCTTCGGAGCCCCGCGCAGGCAGCCTTCCACCAGCACAGAATGCAAAACAATTATGGGGGGGGGGGGGGGTGTGTGCGATGTTAGGGGTACAATGGGTACATTATTGGGATCCTTGCTATAGGAGAATCCTACTATTTGGTGGGCTACGTTAGGGGTCCCTGATTATCGTAAACACCCATATCAGCAACACGGAGCATCAACTAAGCATTGTCACACAGACACAAACATCAGCACCACCGTCAGCAGCATCAGCAGCGGCAGCAGGTTCTAAGTAAACCAGCGAGTAAAAAAACATGAAACCATGAGCCAATCATACCAAACCATCAAACCGAAAATCAATACCCTCATCAAATCAGCCGTGACTGATGCATGAAATCAAAATAGCATGGAGTCAGCCACGGCCACATCCGCACCATCCCTCAGAGACCACCTTCAGCATCCTATTCGTCCTGATCTGGATCCCCTCCTTCCCCTCCTCCTCCCCCTCCTCCTCATCGCCCTCCTCCTCCCCCTCCTCATCCTCTTCCTCCCGCCCTCCTGTTTTCCGCCGCCATGCTCATCGTCGTCGTTGAAATAGTCACCGCCCATGGTGAATCATGAAAATTCTGGCTGCAGCGGGGCATCGTTGCAAGCATGGTATATCGAAAACTGTTCGGCATAAGCATAATCTGAAAGAATACAGGTATGAGCACCAGAAGCGCACGAAGCGAGACCCTTCGCCTCGTCGGCAAGACCTTTTCGAAGCTCCTGGAGCTCGCGACTCTGTGCCTTCCAAAAAGGACGAAGCGTCTCTTTGCCTCTTTTTGGGATTCGTGTTCAATGAAAGTCTTCTGATCAAGATCCCCACGTTTATAAAGCTAGTAACTGGTATCCCATGCTGAAGGTGCAGGTGGGGTTTGGACATCCTCAAGTCCTCAATGAGGATTGTGTCTGATATTATGAAGGAAGGAGCAATGTCTCCCACACGTTTCAACTAGTTACCGGTGCTCATGCTTTAACACGGTCAAACACGAAACGATGCAGTATCAAGCTGGAGATTCACTGAGGGCAGTCGTTCTAGGTAGCTGTACGAAAGTGCGATTGTCCATGTCCAAGTAATGTCGTGAAAAGCTGCATCAAGCGCGCCATACGATCGCTGGACAGACCCTGCTTTCTGGCCGCAGAAGCCGAAACGCTCCACGAATGGGTCCTTCGTTTCCCCCCTATACGGCGCAGCTTCAACTCACATCAGTCCGCAAGATTTGACACACATCAGCCCTGTGCGGAGCTCCTGGAGAAAACAACGCGTCAGCGGTTAGACCGCACATCAAAACATAAAAACCGGACGCTGCGCATCATGGCTCAAAACTCACGAGATCTGGTAGGCACTGATGTTTTCCTGGAAATGCGGACGGCCCCAAATGCATGTTTCGACCCATCGTTGCAGGATAAGGAGCTGACCTTGTATTTGGCGTTCCGTGTGTCTGGCTCGTTGCAAGTCCATTCAAGCGGCTTCGCTAAAATCGTCACAGTGTCACGGCCTGCGAGGCTTGCTGTTGCGCAAGTACCTTCAGAGATGGTGTGGCACCCACACTCTCGCTCACGAGTGTGTGGCACAGGAGGCTGGAATGTAAACGTTAGCTACAGCAATCGAAGAGATAGCCTGCCTGCTTTTCGAGCTGCTCCAACTGACGGCTCTGCGACAAGACCTGAGTCTCTCAAACCAGATTGAAGAATTCTCACCATGAGTGTCTCACAGGTGCTCTGGCATGCGGTTCTGCGATGTTCTGCAAGGCTTTGCAATCCACGGCCGTGAGATGCCACCAGAAGGGCTCTCTCCCACATGTGGTGAGCTGTGGCGATGTTGGAGACTCGATATCTTTGGGGAGCTGAAGAGCTGGCTACGTATTGATTTGTGGGGCTTGTCCTGCCCAGGCGGCTCAACTGCCCGCAAGTTGCACAACCTTTGGTATCTGGCATTGCTCTGCAAGGACTGCAACCCGCCGTCCGAGTCCTGGACAGCAGATGCATGCCGACGTGCAGAGTTCAGGCTTCTTGCTCAGACAAGCAGTCGGGTCAGGCGACCAGAATGGTGCCCAGGATGGAAGTTAAAACAGTAGGCACTGAGTATGTCAAAACCGAAACACATCCAGAACATGCTCGCAGGCCTCAAGTCTCCTCTGCATGGAGCTCAATGCATCCAAGGTCGAGGTGGTCACCTCGCATGTGGACTGTGGCTTGACAGCACGAGATGGCCGGGGATGGCATTGATTTGCAGTCCGTCTGGAGAGCCCCTTTGGCTTCCAGCTTGCTCGCAAGCATCTCGAACAACCGATGACTGTGCCTGAGACACACCAAGGACATGTGCAAGCAGCTGGTCATCCTCTCAAACTTCAAACTCTCTCTAAATCAAGATCGCTGCCTCTGCATCAAGAACTGTTCTCAATACGTACAGCCAGAGCCACGAAAGCCGGCAAGTGCTTTCGGGCTGTTCACATCATACAGTACGCAAGCACGCGCAACCACACAACCACACAACCAACCTGAAAGGCTGTTTTCGCATGTCGTCGGCTATCCATCGCAAGAAAGATGCACTCAACAGGCCCACGACCATACAGCCATGTGGGCAAATCCTTGTCGTTTGAAGTGGCCCTGGCTCAGCCAGGGACCTGCGCAAGTTCCTGCTGGCTCTGCTGCCTGGCCACCTTAGCCGGATAGAGTACAAGTAGGAATCAAGTAGGATAGTAGCTGGGCCAAGCAGTCCTTGGCCTTAGCGTGTCTTGGCCCTGGCAACTTGCGGGCTTGTTGTCTCCGTGTGTAGAAGAAAGACTGAGCCATTCGCAGACTCGGCACTGACTGCCTGCATACAGTATGCATGCAGAGATGAGATGAGTCATGCCCCCACGTATACGCATTGTAGCTCTTGCCTGCCCTTGGAGACTTGCGTTCCCGTACTGTGCACAACTTCGTCAGAGTGAAACCCACGAAGGAACAGCAGAGCCTCCATCTGAGCACGAAGGTCGCTGAGCGCGCTGCTGAGGCCCTGCGTAGGCACACGTGTTTGGAGGATTTTGTTCAAGGGCTTGCAGCTGTGCGCATCTCTTCTGAATGATCTCGGCCACCTCGTGCCGCTCGACCGAACTCTGGCTATAGCCATCAAAGCTCTCCTGGGCAGAAACTGCCACAGGAAATTGCCATAAGCAACCTCAAATTTCCGCGTTCGATCAGTAGATCTCTCCAGACATGTGGTTCTACTGCGCTGAGGGATCGGATCCCCGTCCTTGACGGTCTTGATCGTTTCCTGCAAAACCCAAGCAAAAAAAGCACGCAGCTGGTGAAGTTGGCACCTGGCAGGCACCTGTGCCTATGATTTCAGCCAGCATGAAGGCTGTCCCCCACAAAGGCCAACTAATTGAGGCATCGAAAGCTGTGCCGGCTGACCTCGAAGGCAGCCTCAAGGGAAACGTCCCGCTGATCGCCCCGCTTCTCCTGGAGCCAGGCAGTCGTTTGTGCACCAGAGAAAAACTCGAAAGTATACGCAGAACGAAAGATGAGTTGTGCATGCTAGCATGCTCCTGGCTGACCAGGGCTTGCTGGATCTCAGCGACTTTGGCGCTCAGGTCCTTCCATGAGGCGACAGTGTCTCCACAGCACTGGCACATGATATTAGGGGTACCTTCTTGAGGCCTTATTTTGTTTAAAGATCCTAGTATTTCGGGGTCTTTTTAAGGGTCCCCGATTTTCGTAAACCACCATGTAGGCTTACCAGACTTCAGTGGACGCAGCGCCTCCACTGAGGCTGGTTTGACCAAGCCATCCACGGCCAGCCGCAGGTCCGTCAAAGACTGGGACATGGCCTGGCCACAGCTGCAACATGACAATGCGAATTTTCGACTCTGTGCACCCTGGAACTTTTCGATGTATCCCGCGGAACTTTACAAGATCCTTCGATCCTTCGCTGATCCTTCGGATAGGTGCCTAGACTCGTTCCCTTCCGAACAGATCAATCCCCGCCCCCCCCCCCCCCGGAAGAGCCTGCAAGAGAGAACAAAAGATAGAGACAACGAAGCTTGTGCTTTAAGAATTCGGGGGCCCTCAACTGTTCTGAAACCCCTGAAGTTGAAGGGGCTGGAAGTGTGGACAAGGGCTTTTACAAACAACGTTGCTTGCGAGGATGGGGGCTGAAGTTAGCAATGTATGAACATTTTAAGCCTCTGGCATCGACGGGCCATGCGTCCCCAAGCCTTTTTGCAGCCTCCCTGGTGTCGGCGCCTAGCACGGGCCTAGCGCCCGCACACAAATGGGTCCGAGCTTGTGGCAGCAAGGCTGCATGGACCGCCAAAACGCTGAATCCTTTGTGGAATCTGATTTCATCGGGTCCATCGTCTGTTCGACTCCCCCACTCCGTGCCAAAATCCTATCGATGGATCCGCGCCAAGAGTCACGGAGTCAAAGCGCACACCTCCGCTACCCTGACTTAGCAGGAAGATGCAGGAAGCACACCAAGATGGAAAGAGAAACACATCATGGCCAACGAGCGCGGGGCATCGTCTGGGAGGTGTTTTCTGTGCGCGGCGACTCCGTGAAGTAAACGATTCTTGCCGAGTCAGCAAAATCAAACATAGTATCCGGTTGGTGGCTTGCAACATCTTGCAACACACATGGCCCAGTGACTGCAGTCTACTCAGTGGCAGTACAGTAATGATCAAGCCCACGATCTTCAACGCGACACCATGTCGTCTAAGTATGCCGCCCCTGTTCAAACTCTGCATGCGGCATCAGCCCAGCAGGGCTGACTGTGAGGCAAGTTGGCACATCCTCCCACGTTGCGCTACTTGCCTGCAGTGATCTGCTGCTTGGCACGAGCCAACTTACCCCACAGGCGACAGGGTTGGAAAATGCACACGAGCATCAGCCCAGAAGAGGAGGTGCATGTACCTCATGGCAGACTGCTTATCATCGCGTTACAGCAGTATACAGCAGTTGCGTTCATTGCCGCTGGGCTAGCGACACAATCCCTTTGCCACTTGGACGATTCAAACCTAGAGAATCCTAGAGAGCAGCCTACTGGACCTACTGGACTGCGCTTCCCGTTCTGCAAGGCCTTGACCGGACGGCGGCGCTGCACGAATGCCAGCACTGCGGTGAAGGCCACGGTGGACACACAGGCTCCATGTCTGCCCATCATCCGTGCTCGAGAATCTGTGTCACTGAAAGCTCTTGCTGCTAATCACAGACGGCTGAGAATCCCAAAAAACGGCTTCCTCGAAGATGATTACCTGCAGCTGTCGCGTCCAACCTTTGGCGACAGTATGGGCAAGTCAGCAGACCAGTTATTAACGAACATGGGCATTTCACTACCTGATTCATCCAAGCAACAGCTGCGGAGCGTGCGACTCTTTCCAGGACTTCTCTGCTGCTCCGAAACGGGCGGCCGCCTGAGCCTCCCTCAGCGCCGCCTGCGCCCCAAGGCCTCTGGCAAGCTCTTGCAAACGGTCTTGGGCCTTCTCGGCACTGTGCCTCAACTCCTTGCTGTGGGCGTCGATGGAAAGGTCCCCAAGTTCGTCCTCCAACTTCTCGAAGTGGCGGCTGAGTTTCTCCTCCAGTCTCTCGGCCGCGTCCTCAGCCTTCTCCTCTGCGTCCCCGACGGCATCTTGCACGCGGTCTTCATGCTGCTCGTAGACATGCTCCGGCACGCGAGCTTCTCGCTGGGCCTTCACCGCCCGCCTGCCATGAAACTTCCAAGACTTTGCCGCTGTCTTGGCTTCGGCCTCGAGCGTCTTTACGCGTTGATGGGCTCGGTGACGTGCATCCTTCATGGCGGCCTTCATGTTGTGCTTTTGCTCCTCCAAATCATGCTTCACTTGAGGCGAGGCCTTCTTCACAGCATCGGCAAGCTCTGCGGCGCGCGACGCATTGAAGTCCAAGACGCTCTTGTGAGATTCGTTGTTGAACTTCTCGAGCTTCTTAGTGTTGGACTCAAGGGCCTTCTCCCAGGAATCTGCCCCATGCGGTCTTGAAGCTGCAGCAAGCTCCTGAAGTGTCTGCCAGTCACTTGCCTTGCTGAGAATGTGCTCAGCAGGTGTTTCTTTCAAAGACTTCAGCTTGCTTTGGAAGCCATCAGCAGCTCGTTGCTCCTGTGCCTGCGCCGTCACGACCTCGGAGGAAACGTTGGTAGATTGCGGCAGCGCGGCGAGCAACTGCGGAGCATGTGACTCTTTCCAGGACTTCTCTGCTGCTCCGACCTGAGCCTCCCTCAGCGCCGCCTGCGCCCCAAGACCTCTGGCAAGCTCTTGCAAACGGTCCTGGGCCATCTCAGCACTGTGCCTCAACGCCGTGCTGCGTGCGTCGATGGAAAGGTCCCCAAGTTCGTCCGCCAAGTGCTCATAGTACTCGTTGATGCTGTCGTCCAGCCTCTCGGCCACATTCTGAGCCTGGCCCTCTGCGTCCCCAACTGCATCTCGCATGAGGTCATCGTGGCTCTCGTAGAGTTGCTCCGGCATGTTGGCTTCCCTTTGCGCTCTGACGGCACGCCTGCCATCCGACCTCCAGGCCCTCACAGCAGCCCTGGCTTGTCCTTCAAGCTTCTGCACCTGGCCAAGTGCATCCTGCTGGGCAGCCTTTACTGATG